TTCAGATCGATGGAGGTAAACCAATTGTTTCTCTGGATGTTGTCCAACATTTGTCTGGTTGTCAACATGTGAAACGGTCTGTCCACGATTGCCTTGTTGAAAACTGACAGGTCCAAAATGGGTCTCGTTCCTCCAGTCTGTTTTTGAACCAGGAAGTAACGTGAGTAAAACCCTGTGTTTTCCTCTCTGTCGGGAACTCTGGACATTACCTCTTTTACCAGAAGTTCCTGGACTTCTGCATTTAGGAATGAGACCTGGTTTGGTGATGACAGAACCATCTCTAAAACTCCTCCGAACGGAGGAGGTTGAGCTGCGAATTGTAGCGTATAACCCCTGTTTATCAGCTTGCTCATCCATCTGTCTGGCGAGCATGTCTGCTGCCACTCCGCGTAACCTTTGTGGAGTGGGCGTGCATTTAGGTGGTGCGTCATGTTTCTTACGGACATCAGCAAGTCTAAAGCCTCGACCTCCGTCTACAGCCTCGACCGCCGTCATGCGCCGCGGAAGTGTGTTCCGCATGACCCAAGTCCGCATGACTTAAGGCGAGGCTTTCTCGAAAGGGCTCTGATCGCACCTCTGTGTTGCGCTCAGGCTGCGGGTTCATATTCATGTCCATGTTAACTGGCATGTGTTGAAGAGAGGTGTGCGCACCTTCATCAACGCAGTGCCGTTTGAGTGAAGGCTGCTGGCGTCGTGGGAGCGCACGTTTGACACTGCTGAGGTGAAAAGAGTGCAGCTCGGGCTGAAAACGAGTTATTCCACTGGACTCGTTCTGTGGACCACATTCGTTTTTGACTGTTGTGTCATGTGAGCATCTCGTGTTTATTTTGGAGCTGCGGTGATTCTGAAAAACCTTTTTTAAGGACACCGGCTCGTTTTGTGTAGAGGATGTGTGAGAAGCCGCTGTGAGGTCATCCGAGCTGACAGACAGGCTAAAATCAGAAACTTTAATCTTTGAATGATGTTCATGTTTTATTTCAAAACTCGTGTCATCATTACACACATCCTCCGCAAACTGTCATTTTTTTAATCTTCTCCCCCGTGAGCTCTGCGGTTAGTTGTCCCAGGGCACCACCTGTTGGTTTTCTCTGGGGAAACGCTGAACCGCCGGTTGCCGGGATGAGGAGGGCTGATCTCTGACGGCGGGGCTGGCGGCGGAGCGGGAAGACACTGCTGCAGCCGTGGAACATCGTTGTTGTTGTCTTTGCCCACGATGATCCTTCCAGCGGTCCGGGGGGAGGGATGAGGCATGTGGCTTGATGAGATGGCGCACAGTCTCTGACACCTCCTCCGACTTTTTTGAATTTTCCAGCATGACCTTGAAATTGATCCCGAACAGCGTGTCTGATGTGATGGGGCCCTCCATCAGGTCTTTGTACAATTTCTCCGGCAGGGAGGGGGAGTGACAGAGCCAGGTGGACCTCTGGCTCATCGTCATCCACGCTGCAATCCTGGACAGGCAGACAGCAGAAGAGGTGCACAGGTTGAGGATGATGTCAAACGCCGTGCAAAGGGAGCTCTTATTCTCCTCAGACAAATCTGCAGTCTCCAGCCTCTTTGAAATGCTGTACGCCAACAGCGCAACGTTGTTGTTTGCTGTGGCCACCTGGAACGCACACTGGTGAGCTCGATTGGAGAGCGAAGTCACCGTCTGGTCACGCTTCCTGGGAGGGACAGGACATTGGTCCAACCTGGACAGCTTTGCTCCGAAAGCTTCCGCCAGGCTCGGCTCCGGGGGGTGGGGGGGTACCGAGGGAAAGTTCCGCTCGGTGAACCCCTCCACTCTGGTGATGGGAGCGAAAGTGGAGACGGGCGCTCTCAATTTACTAGGACCGGCTGCAGCCTCGTTCCAGTAGGACGCCACTGCTGGGAAACGAGGCCAGATGGGATCAGGACGACGAGCCGGGGTAGAGCCAAACCTTCCCGCTAGATCATCTGATCAGGGCGGGGGGAGGAGAGGAACGGAAAGTCCCTTTGTGTCAGCAGCCTCCCGGATTATGCCGGGCAGCTCCGAGAGGAGGGCACCGACGGCAGGGAGCGATGTGGCCGTTGAGGCGGAAAGGCCCGGTGGCGGGGTGAGCATCCACTCGGCCCCCCTCGTTCCGACACTACGCTCTCCGGGAGGGAATGAGCATCGGGGCTGCTGCTGACGTCGCTTGTCCCAGAGGAACCATCCGATTCATTCCGAGAGCCGGCGTCAAAAAAGTCGATTGCGTCATCCAGCGAAGAGTCTCCCGCCATGGAGAGGCAGTCCTCGACGTTAGCCTTGAATTAGGCTGCTCTCCTCTGCCTTTCCTCCGGAGGGAGGAGGTCACAGAGGTGGCAGGAGGAGGCGCGGGCGGCGTGGCGGGAACCCAGGCATCCTTCGCAGGTGTCGTGCCGGTCAAAGCTCAGCAAGTAGCCGGTCTTGCAGGATGGACACAGGCGAATGGTGTTGGTGCTGGACATCTCGTTGTTGAAGGTCAGTGCTAATCGTTTGCTGAAGAAAAATGGGAGCGGATTACCCACTCTTTACGTAATTTATACAGACCAGGTGGGGCCCACACAACAGGTGGGCGTGGACTAAACTTTGCAATGCGATGCTTTGCATGACGGGATAAAATCCACTAGCGAGGGCCTTAAAGGGCGAAGCCTATACAAAATAGACCTGATTTCTGTTATCTAAAAAAGTTAAATCTGGTCCTCTGGACATTCAAAAAAA